ACGATTACAGCCACAGTTATCCCTATGATTGGAGATTCAATGAGCCGGTGATTGTTAGGGCGAGTCCTCAATGGTTCCTCACTATTGAGTCCATTAGAGAGGATTGTATTAAAGCGTTAGAAAACGTTGTATTCTATCCGGACTTTTATAAAGAATATTTAGTAAACCAATTGAACGTAAGACCCAATTGGTGTATATCTCGGCAGAGGTCATGGGGTGTTCCCATTCCCGTCTTCTATCGCAAAAATGACACCCAATTTAAAACTCCCATATTTTCAAAGCCAATATTCGATCACATTTTAGATCAGTTTAAAGAGAAAGGATGTGATATTTGGTGGCTCTCATCAGTGGACCAATTAGTGCCAAATCATATGATCGAAAGTGAATTAAAAATGTGTGCAAACGATTTGGTTAAAGGGAAAGATATATTTGACATTTGGTTCGATAGTGGGAACAGTTGGAACTCAGTGTTAAGTGAGCCCAAAGTGGCCGACATGTATTTGGAGGGTTACGACCAGTTGCGCGGTTGGTTTCAATCGTCGCTCATCTTAAGCGTAGCCCTAAGAAAGTGTCCGCCTTTTAGATCGGTTAAGATTCACGGCTTCGCACTCGACAGCGAAGGCAAGAAAATGTCCAAATCTGTGGGCAATGTTATCGATCCAAACGACGTGATTAATAATCAAACCAATGCCACCAATTGTGGATCAGATGGCTTCCGGTGGTGGACAGCGAAGTACGCGTCCCATCATAAGGACGAAAGGGTTTCAATTGATTCTTTCGATGAAACCCTGACCACAATCAATGATTTTCGACGCGCCCTCCGGTTTCTCATGGGATCTCTTCATGACTTTGATCCGTCAAAAGACGTCTGCGTTGTGTCCGAAATGAATGTTTTGGACAAATATATGTTACATCATTTGCACCATTACTTAAATGACATCGATTTGTATTATAAAAACTATAGATTTCATCGCGTCGTTAGTTCTTCGCTTGAATTGATTCGTAACCGAATCTCTGGTTTTTATTTTTCACGAATCAAACACCGACTCTATTGTCACCACAAGACGTCTCAACGCCGACGCAACTGTCAAACGGTTCTCTTGTATTTATACAATTCAATAGTTTATCAATTGGCGCCTATTTTGCCACATATTATGACCGAAGCGTACAATCAATTGCCCACTGATTCGCAGTTCATTCAAAACAACGACGACTGGAATGAACCCAATATAGAGGAGGACATGAATCTTGTCCTTTCGATGACTCATTTGATTAACAAAGAGTTTGTCGGAAAAAATATGTCAAAATACGACTGCTATATAAATGTTGACGCGAATGGTCTTCAAAACCTATCGGTTTGTTTGACTCACTTTATGTTTAAATTATTTTAATATAATATAAAATATTTCTAACGGAATATTCTTTTGTTAAGTTATTTCAAATGGAGTCCAATTCAATGGATTCAGATTTGTGTGAGATATTGGGCACGTCTTCAGTGGTTTACTTGCATTCAAATGATTCAAAATTGGCACAAAAGGATGGCATCACTTTAAACGGATGCTCTAATCATATTAATTATGAATTATTGATAACATCTGCTAATAATTGTTTGTGCGATCGTTGCAGACGTTATACAGCAGTTAATCGGAGCCAACCCTGCCATCAATGCCTACAAGTCTTGTCGTTATCTTGATTTACGATCATATGATTTGAACAATAATTTATTATATGTTTGAAAATAATTTAATAAAAATATATATTAATTATTTTGTATTGAATTAAAAGGCAAACCAAACAGAGGGTAAGGCATGCGTTAAGTGTTTTTATTTCATACAATATATGCTTAACTATTGTGACTTACGTAATGTGTTAGACGTTATTACTTGAATTGTGTGCAATTCAATGGGTTCTTAAGCATTAGTCATGCAATTGATTGCTATTTAATCAATAGATATAATACTTGTTGCGATTTTTTCCATTATTTTATATAGATTTAATAAATGG